GAGCCCGGGGAGGCGGGGGGGTGGGTCCTGCCGGGGGGTGCCTCGGTGGGAAGGGGACCGCGCTCTGCCTCCAAACGCGGGCCCGCCGAGGAGCCATCTTCTCAGGTATTTGCAGTATCTGCAACGGGAGAGGTCGGTGCGGTTGGTTACAAAGGTGTGTTTGTGCTTAATAACGGTTAGGTGAATTTCCAGCAAACAAAGAGAAGTTTAGCTTTCGTACTACGTACTGAAAAATCATGCTGGCTTCCAGCAATGTATCGGCATCAGAAGTATCAGAGTTTAATAGTGGGCATGCGTTTTGGTAGTTGGTGTGTCGAGTATATGACAATATAAAGTAAATGTTTAAGTGTTCTTAAAATACATAGAATCCCTTCTTCCTTACTCCTTACACAGCCACGGTTCTTTGATCTCAAAAGTGTTGCATAATAATGTAGAGGGTTTTTTTTAATTCTAAATGTTGCTATTTAAATTGACGTGTGTGTATGATGGAAAAGAATTTTAAATTAACGTGAATTTAAAGAGTTAAAAGTTAAAGCAAAAAAGCCTTTAAAGTTAGAAGAGCATCTTTAAAGAGAAGCTAATTACGCCATTGTAATGACCGATATTAAAATTTGCAGTTTGACAAATTAATAATGACAGTGTAAGCTTTCTGGTAGATGGGTCATATTTTCCTCGGTGACTTGTAACGCTGTATTTAGTGCTGAGTTAAAGAAAATCTAAAAGTTTGTAGAATTCATCTAAGGCGATTAAAATTCTGCGGTCCTGTTGCCATGCCCTTCTAAGGCAGCTTTGCAGAGGTGGTGCCGCGGCAGCGCATTCTGTTGCAATGTTACGTGTCAGTCTGGCAGTGTCCGCTTGAGTGTTGTTACCACACGTTAGGGGTGAACCTGTGGTTTGGAGGGGGCTTTGCCTGAAACCCACGCTGATACTGAGCTTGCTCAATTTTCCATGTTAAAAAGACAGGTTTTTGCAAGTGAATTTGGGATCTGAAAATCGGACTCTGTTACAAAGTTTTTTTGCTGCTTGGATAAATCGTGAGGGGTCAGGAGGTGGAACTATGTCGCTCTTACTATTTTAACTCAATAAAAAAGGGAAGGAAGGGAAGCTTTTCTCTTGGGAAGAGTTTGTCGTGCCTCCAGATGTCAATTTTTTAACTCAGCTCGCTTACCGTATCGGTGCAGAAATCCTGGTTTCTTGAACAATAGACTGTCTCAGTGCTCATGGAACCCCTTCCGGACAGTGCTCAGCTCCAGAAGCTCTCTCTATAGCTTTTGTTCCAGGCTGCATTGTTAGCACCTGTGGAAGCTGCATTTGACACTTTGCTTTGTCTGCGGGGCCCAGTTTCTTGTGCTTACCTTGATGCCAGTTTTTGCTCAAGGACTTTCACATTTAAAGGTTTCATTGTGTTGATGCCGCTTTTCATAGCATAGATCCCAGAACACCTTTCAGGTGCCTGCAGTTATTAACCGGGGACGCTTTGTAGCCAAACAGTGTGTTGTGCGACTGTAGCGTTGCCATCTACTAAGTTGCGTATGGCTAAACTGTTGCAGGGCGTTGGCCCACATTGGTGAAAACTGCCGTCTTTCACAGCAAAGAGGTGCACAGGGTATGTTTGGCGGTGTAGCAGTTCCTTGGGATCACTATGAATGGAAAGAAATGTCGGCCTTCTCAGGACACTTGTATAGTTTGTCTCTGGTTCAGTTCCGCCCTCAGTAGCAGGTGTGCGGTAGCTGCTGTCCTTTAAGGCACCGCGTGCGTCGACCTGCTGTAACCAGCTGGATGTCCGCGATATCTTGCCAGGATAAGTGGAAAGCTGTGGTGTGGTTTAAAAAAAAACAAATCTACCACATATCGCAGAGAGGAATTTAAAGGAAGATGTTCCATTTTTATTGAGGGCATTGATAGAAAGTTGCAAAGCCCCTGAAGACCTGTGATGTTACGAGGATGCTCTGGTTCTGTGGCAGCCTAAGCTCATTCTTTAAAACAAACAACCCCTCCCGCCCCGACCTTCCCATATTTTTCATATTTTGAGATTAGCTCCTTATATTTGTGTTTAGAATATACCGAGGTTGTAGTTTCTGTTCACTTCCCCTCAAATGTGGAGGTGTGGAGTCTTTTTATCCGTTCAAGACTGAAATCTCAGATTATCCTGTAGCCATGTGTCTCCAGGCTACTGGGATTTACAAAGCGCTGTGACATTCCTGATGAACTGAGAACAGGCCAGGACAGCACAAAGCATTTACAGGTCTCCTGATAACTTTGTCAAAATTTGTTTTACTTTTTAGACCACAATGAATGTGGAACATGAAATTAGCCTCTTAGTTGAGGAGATTCGGCGGTTGGGAACCAAAAGTAAGTATTGTAATATCTCTGACCGTACAGATGTAATCATGTTATACATACATGTATGTATATGGCATACATGTCATACATATGCAGGCATGTTATATCAACTGACGAACTTGGCGAATTTAATTAAGCAGGCTCAGGTAACCTGAAAATTTGCATATATACTTAATGTTGGACTGTATGGTACTCCCTGTGTCCCATCCTCTAAAGTAGTTCTGTTATGACGTTAGACGTTTAAGCCTCTGCAGCACAGAGGATGTAGGCCTGAAATCCTGCTCCCACTAAAATCAACTGCAAAATTACCCTTTTCTTTAGACTTCCAATACTTGCCCCAGCCATCAAAGAAGAAAGTTGCACCTTTTCCTTCCGCTCCTTCCTTGGTAACTCTGAACTTCAGAATTCATACACTTCAATTCTGTTCATCATAGTGTTATTTGGAAGGAATTGATCTGTATGCCTAAAACTAATCCAGGAGTTACAGGTGTAGTCCCAACCTTCCTTAAACTTGCTTAGAAGGTAGCCTTTTCTCTGAAGATTTTTTTTCATTGTTAAAACTCCTCTTACTTTACACATGTTTTTGCAATTTGTGGATGTGCTACCTGCTCATATATTTCAGTTCTGATGCAATTTCATTCAGTTCCATTTGTTTTTCAAAGCCTAAATGGATACGTACATCTTGCATTTTGCATGACTGCATCTGCCTTTTAGGAATAACCTAGCTAACCTTAACATATACTTTAAAATTCTTGCTTTGTGTGAGAAATGAACTCACATTGCACCTTTTTCAATGTGAACCTTAAATATTAATAAGTGAAAAAAAATTAGTTGAAAAAAATATTTTAACATTTTAAGTATTTAAAACGAATTTCCTCCTTATGCTTTGAAGAGGTTCAGTAGCCTGTGCTGGTCATAGGTTTCAGAAAGTCATCAGTAAAAACAAACGTAGCAGATATGTGGTTCTTGATATGAGTCTCTGGAAAAAAGGGTCATACCAAGCAGGAGTTTTACCTACTATTTATGATAAGCATTCATAATATGTTCTCCAATAAAATGGGAAACACCATGGGGTTTACCTTCAACGTTCTGACTGCATGTCACTTTGTTTCCCCAGTAATTTCCTAACTGAAAGAAAATCTGCATGTGTTTTCATGTTGTATCTTTGATTTAGATGCTGATGGACAAGTGAGCGTGAAATTTGGTGTGCTCTTTGCTGATGAAAAGTGTGCCAACCTCTTTGAAGCCCTCGTGGGAACTCTTAAGGCTGCAAAACGACGGAAGATTGTCACTTATCAAGGAGAGCTACTTTTACAAGGTGTTCATGACAACGTTGATATCATGCTACTGCAGGACTGATGCAGTGTTTCAGCTATGCATTAATAGAATTGTTTGAGCCAGTGACTTGCAACATCCTCTGAATAAGGCTGATCATTCTAAGGCGTTTTGATGTATTTTCTATATCTTTATAGTCAAAAGGAAACTGTCCTATTTTGGAAAACATTCCCTTTTGTAATTTTTCCTAAAATGGTACTGTATGTGAGTAAGGTAAAAGATGCCAGATCTTTTTTTATTTTTGAAAATCTCAGGTAATGCTCTCAAATGTCTGGTGGTTATTTTCAACATATGGAGAAGGGGTCTGGTAATTTAATGTTTACAAATCAAAATGTGCCATGAAAGTATAAAATAAAAGCACATACTTAAATTTATGTAATTCTTATTGCTGTTGTTTCTCTTCTTATTTGCAATCTGAAATTAAAGCAAACTGAATTCCTGTAAGGAACATAGTTAAGTAACTGTACAGAAAGCATGCCAATGAGAAATAATTTTGCAGCATGATTCAGTTGAAGAATGACCGTCCTTCGGAGTGGCACAAAAAGCCACGAATGATAGATGTACCACATTCGTCTCTGGCAGTGTAACATGCTTTCATTTTGTTGTCCTCCAGACTGTTGAAGGAAGTGGGTGAGGAGCTCCCTGAATGCTTTCATGCAGCGTTAACCAGAAGATGGTACAGTAGCTTCAGGTTGTGATTATTTTCCTCACAGAAATCATACTTTCTCTAAATCACTCCAGGCAAAAAACGGGAGAGAAGGAAAAAAAGCCCTTTTGATTGTTTTCTAGCTTACTGCTAATTCTTCTTAGCTGGCAAAAATGCTCCTTCCAGTAGGGAGAAAGAGTTGCTGCATGGGGAAAGCAGCAGTGGGTAAGCAAACTGCTTACTGCTCTGTGCTTCCGCTCTGCAGCTGCAGATCTTAAAGTTGCAGGATGGGTGAATTTCCCCTTACTTAGCAGCCTTTTACAAGTGCAAAATGCTTGAAAAGTGTCTCCTTATTTCCAGATACAGGAAATGCACGCATGGTTATGGAATCTCTACAAAGCTGTGTAATTCCAGCTGCTGCCCCTTTCATCTTTGTTTGCTCTGCTTTGCGCAACAGGAAAACAACTCAAATCCTGTGTGCAAACAGATCTGGGCTGCCTCTGCCTGTGCTGGCCCCAGAATCTGGAGAGCAGGGAAGTGATACACAGAGAAACTAGAGCTGTCTGGGTCCAAGCCAGCTGGAGCTCAGAAGCAGAGTAGGAGCTCAGCACAGCTTACTGGCTCCAGTGCCCTGTCACTCCAATGCAGCTGCTCTGCTTCCAGACCTGAGCTGGCAAGTGCCCGTGCCCTTGCGCTCCACAGGTAGAAAGAAGGAGGACTGAGGCCAATCATTCTGCATTGGGGGTGAGACCAGACAGCTCTGCGTTACCAGATAACCACAGTTGTGTTTTCCTCTGCCTCTATTTTGTCGACAGCCTGAGTCATTGTCTGGGTTCACAGGACAGCCTGAGTATGCTGACAGATACTGAGTGCTTTGTGATTGTCTGAGATGCTGGTTTTGGTATGGGAGGGCACCAGCCTGCCCCAGCCAGGATATAGTTCTCTGTGCGTGTTCATGACAGCTCTTCAAAGCACTGAAGGGGCCTCCATCTTGAAAATTTAGGTACCAGTAAATTTAAGGCTTGGTGCTGGGTTGGGAGCTGAGACAGGACTATGAAGAGACCTTTATGTCTCATTTTGGATTTATCCTCTTAACAATGCTCATAAATGTATTCAGAGCTTCTGGGAACATCGTGTAGAAAGAGACAGAGAAACTTGGAACTAAAACAAATTTGTAACAACTGGAGGAGAGTGTGACTGTGTGCTGCCCGGGGGAGTTGAGATTTGTTTTCCCTCTGTTTCTGAAAGCAGAGGAGGAACAACATGAACAAGGATGTATATCCACAAACTTGCCCTCAGTGCAACGCTTAATGTGTCTGCTGGCCCTAGAATTGTGTAGGCTTCTTCACTTCAGGTTATATACAAGCACTGATGACTTAATTTAATTTTTTCTGTTTCTGAAAGCAGAGGAGGAACAACATGAACAAGGATGTATATCCACAAACTTGCCCTCAGTGCAACGCTTAATGTGTCTGCTGGCCCTAGAATTGTGTAGGCTTCTTCACTTCAGGTTATATACAAGCACTGATGACTTAATTTTAATTTTTTTTTTTTTGCAGAGAAAATCAGATACTAACATCACTTCACATGCGTGGGACCACGCCTCTGTTAAGGAAATAATTACCACAGCAAATGGCCTGGACACAAGGTGTAGTTCCTGGAGCGCTTGACACAATAATAGAAAAGCTAACTATGGGGAAGGCATTACCTGTTTTTGTAAACAGTAGGACAATCAGCAGTCCCCTGTGATGGGTTCATGACCTTGCCAGCCATGGGTCTGAAGGAAGTTTGTAGGTCAGCCAGGAGCACCAGTGATTCCAAAATAGCAAGTCATTCTCCTGACTGCTGGGAAGTAGGAAGATGCAGAGATTTTTGACAACAGCATAAAAGAATTGTCAGTAGAGCGGTTACCTGCCAATGATAATGCTGGGAGGTCAGTGAAAGAGTAGCTTAGCTAATTCGGTCTCTATCTATGTAAGCTCCGAGAACGTGGTGGAACCTTGAAGAAAGGTTAGATGAGCTCCAGGCAAATCTAGCTGGTACAATTTAAGATGTTACCACTATATGTCTTCAGCAGGGACTGTTAGAGAAACTGATGGAGTGGAGTGTATACACTTACCTCACCTCAGCTGTTGCCATGCAAAATCCAGTGACTGGAGATAAATGTGCTTTTCAAAGCAGTTTTGACTAAGCTGCAAAGGTGCTGAGGCACAGGTTTGCATAACCTCTGGCGAGAGGTGGTAACATCTTAAACTTCACAGCTGTTTCTCTTGTGAGCGTAGGTTTTTGCTGGGAACTTGAGCACAGGAAGGGTTGAAATGTATGCTATGTCTTTTCCATGCCTCTTTCATGTTGGAATGAATTTTGAAAATGTATGTTGTGTTTTGCTTGTTTCTCATCTCCCCTCCAAAGCTTTGCTGGAGGTGTTCTTTCCGCTTCAAGGGATTTCTCTCAGTGACAGCAATGTCACTTTTGCCATTCATATCTGTGTAAAGTTGGTTATCTTTACTTAGTTTCTTTGTCACAAAAAAACACTTGAATGAAAGAACAAGAGTAAGAGGAGCAGGAAGTTCTTACATGCTGAAAACTGATTATATTGCCACTGACACTTAGCAGTTTTATTTAAAAATAGTTGGATGTTTCAGAAATAGGCTGAGATTCTCTTCTACTCCAGCAGCACAAAGTGACTATTAAGCATGTTTGAACAGTTGCAGAGCTTTTGCTAAGGTGATGTGGCATGAACCAATGAATGCCACAGGACTGGCCTTATCGCTCCATATCAAAACACTAACCATTAATGATATCTTTCTACCGCCTCCACCTAGTATAAAAGAACAGTCCTAAAGGTTTGGTCTACACCCTGCAGCATAATTCATGTTCGGTATTGCCTGAAAATCCTCTGTCTGGTAATCGTATTATGGGAATCATGGTTTCAAGGACTTAAAAAAAAGCAAAAAAGCCCAACATGCATTTCTTTTGGAAGCTGGCAAAGTCAATAATTTTGCAAAATTCGTGTCCTTGTTCATGTCCTCCTCAAGCAAATATGGGACATTTGGTCTGTAATGGATCTTTTTTTCTGATGTGTAAGAAAGCGATTCATTCCAAAGCCAGCCACAAAGGGTAGAACTAAATATGAACAAAGCAATTTGAAGGGAAATGAACCCCCGAGACCAAAAAATATGTTTCTGTGCTCTGACAGCTATTTGGAACAGGTGATCTGGCTAGGTTGAAGAATATGAGTTTGGTGACCCAGTGACATATTTAAGCCTTGAATACCTTTCAGGACAAAAGTCAGTATGACATACTTTGTTTTGCAACCCAAAAGATGATGATATATGCCAGAATACTCTGGGGTTTTTTCTGCTTCCCTGCAGACCAGTCCATTTTTACTTTGGAAACTGTCCATTAAGCTTATGAAAAAGACCCAAACTGTCCCCTTTGGTGCATTTATTACATATCAGAGAAAAAGACAAGGACAAAAGAACCGCTTAGTGCTCTCCAATACACGCAGACGGGATCCAAGTCAAGACTGTTAATGTTACAGGTGACGCTAAAAAGCAATGGTCTGCCTTTGCTCAAAGGTCCAGCACCCATACCAACTTGGATCTCCTAAGGATTTGATTTTCAAGGCAAGTTATCTTCAGCGTTTTGATCTGAAATGGCATTCTCAAAGAAAATCAATAGCAGGTTGAAGAGTTGCTCCAGTGCAATGATTTCAAGGAATCTGTACGGTCAATATTTCCAGGTACTCCTTTCTTCAAAAAAAAGCCGAATGGGTTAGTTAAAGATAGGTGCTTGACAGTGTTTCTAGAAAGCCAGCGTATTTAAGATCTAGTTACATAAACTGCTTAATGTGAAATTGTTCTAATAAAGTTTTCCTGAGGGTGGCATTTCAGTTTAGTTCTGCCCCTCTGAGTACAGCTTTAGCCACAAATGCACTCTAGATGCATATTTAAGCAGCTGAAGCTAGTCTCCTGGCAGGTATTTTGAATGATGCACCAGAAGAAGCATTATCTTGCGGTGTAGCCTAGATGTCATCGCAGATTATGCTTATCTCCGCCAGAGCACCTGAGTGACTCGGGGAGGTTAAATACCAGGCTGGTACCTGGGGAGGGAGTAGTGGGATCTGCAAACACACTCCAGAGTCTTGTCAGATCAGATCCAGATCAAACCTTCTTTCAGAGAAATGCTTAGAGTCAGACCTGGGCATTTTCCAGTACAGCATTTTCACAAATATAGCAGCGTTATGTCCATGACCTTGCTCCTTTTTGGAACTTATTCCTGCACAACCACTGCAAGCTGAGTGACACTAAAAGTCTTAAGGCCACCTGGCCATGCTTAAAGCTGTTCTCCAGGGAGGACAACAGTATGTACCATATATTTGTATGTGCATATTATGCATACATATTGGTACAACATGTACTGAAAACCTGACTATTTTTTCCCAGTGGGGAAACACTCAGTAAATGACAATTATGTTTGGGAATGTAGTGAGCTGCATTTTCTGGTCTTTGCTAAGTCTGCTAAATGCTACAGAAGATCACATTAGAATAATTGAGAGTTTATATCTTGTAGAATTAGGTCTTTTGTGAAGCTTTGGTGATAGAAGACATATTATTGCCAGGTCTTTATTAGTCAAGAGACCTTGGTCTGTCTCTGTAGCTAATGTTCTAAAAGGCTTCCTTTATAAAGTTGTATTTTGGAGCACAGTATGATTTTCTTGGAAATCTACT